ATTACAATTTTTAATGCTTTTATGTCCTCCAATCTTTCAGTCTCTACCATAGAGTGCAGACAGTCAGTATATGTTAGGTGGAGACATACAATGTCTCTCTTTTATAGCCTGGCTTGCCTCACTCAGCAACAAATCTTCCATATTTGTCCACTTTCTATCAAGTTCTAGGGCCTTGCTGTTTTTATGGCTGAATAGAATCCCATGGAGTATATGTGCCACGCTTTTTTCAATTCATTCATCTGTTTGGGGACATTTAGGTTGATTCCATGTCTTAGCAATCATGAATAATGCTGCAATAGATACAGTTGTGCAAGCACTTTTCAGACTGAGTGTTCTCCTAGTATTTGGGTAGATACCCAGGAGTGGAATTGCTGGATCATATGGTAGTTCTATTTAAAGGTCTTTGAGAAACCTCCCTATTGTTCTCCACAGAGGCTGGACCAATTTACATTCCCACCAACAGTGTAGGAGTGTTTCCCTTTCACCACATCCCCTCCAGCACTTATCATTTTTTTTTTAAAGCGTCACTATTCTAACTGGGGCTAGGTGGTATCTCATTGTGGTTTTGATCTGCATCTCCCTTATGATGAGGGATGCTGAGCACTTTTCATATGCTTTTTTGGCTGTTAATATGTCTTCCTTAGAGAGTTGTTTATTAAGCTCATTTTCCCATCTTTTAATTGGGTTAATCATTTTCTTCTGGGTAAGCTGCTTGAGTTCACTATGTGTTCTGGTTATCAGTCCCTCATCTGAGGCAAAGTTAACAAAAATTCTCTCCCATTCTGAGGGTTGTCGATTCGCACTAATTGCAGTGTCCTTTGCTGTGCAGAAATTTCTTAATCTAATGTATCCCACCAATTTCGAAGATTAGTGCCTGTGTTTTGGTGGTCTTGCTTATGAAATCTTTGCTTATCCAATGTCTCCAGAGTTCTTAACCAATTTCGAAGATTAGTGCCTGTGTTTTGGTGGTCTTGCTTATGAAATCTTTGCTTATCCAATGTCTCCAGAGTTTCCCCAGTGTTTTCAACCAGTAGTTTTATAGTTTGCATTCTTAGGTCTAGATCTTTGATCCACTTTGAGTTGATTTTTGTTAATGGTGACAGATAGGGGTTCAGATTCATCTCTCTGCAGGTGGATAGTCAGTTTTTACAGTACCATTTGCTAATGAGGTTTCCCTTTTCCCACTGGATTGACTGGTACCCTTTGTCAAAGATGAGTTATCTGTATGTTTTTGAGTTTATTTCTGAGGTCTCTACTCTGTTCCATTGGTCCTCATGCCTGCTATCATGCCAATACCATACTGTTTTAATTATCACTGCTTTGTAATATATTTTGTGGTCAGGAAAGGAGATGTCATCTACTCCACTCTTCTAGTGCAGGATGGCTTTAGCAATATGGGGTCTTTTATGGGTCCACACAAATTCTATGATTGTCTTTTCTAGATCCGTGAAGAATATCTCTTGTAATTTTATAGGGGTTGCATTAAATATGTAGATTTATTTGGGTAGGATTGCCATTTTGCTTATGTTAATTCTGTCAGTCTAGGAACTTGGGATGTCCTTCCACTTTTTTTGTGTCCTTTTGATTTCCTTTTTAAGGTTTTTATAATTTTCCTTATAGATGTCTTTGACTTCCTTGGTTAGTTTTACTCCTAAGTATCTTATACTTCTTGTAGCTATGGTAAATGAGATTACTTCTTCAGTTCTGTCTCTGTCTGTTTATTGTTTGTATATAAAAATGCTATAGATTTTTGTAAGTTAATTGTGCATCCTGCCACTTTATTGTATGCATTTATTACTTCAAGGAGTTTTGTTCGTGGATACTATTACATCATCTATGTGTACAATCATGTAATCTGTAAGCAGAGATAATTTCAGCTCTTCTTTAAAAAAATTTCCCTATTGGAATACCTTTCATTTCCTTCTCTTGTCTGATTGCATTGGCTAAGACTTCTAGTACTACATTGAATAGAAGCAGAGAAAGTGGGCAGCCTTGTCTTATACCAGCTTTTAGTGGAAAAGCTTTCAGCTTTTCTCCATTCAGTGAAATGTTAGTTATAGGTTTTTCATGGATGGCTTTTATTATGCTGAGAAATGATCCTTCTATGCCAATTTTACTGAGAGTCTTAATCATAAAGGAATGGTGTATTTTGTCAAATGTTTATTCTGCATCAATTGAAATGATCATGTGACTTTTATCTTTCTTTCTGTTAATATGGTGTATTACATTTATAATTTTGTGTATGGTTTATTTATTTTTTTCATCCATGAATGAGAAAGAGAGAGACAGCACCTCCAATAGGGTCAGCCAGCCCTCAATCATAGGCATGTGTATACCAGTATATTCAGGTAGGTCTCCAGATGAGAATCTGGACTTTTACCATGTGGATCACCCTCACAAAGCATCTTGTTTTACTACTGTGCCACTGTCTATCCCTGAAGTCAGTTTGCTTTTGTTTGTTTGTTTTCGACAAAGCGCAGTTCTCTTTTCACTTCAAACTATTCAGTGGATTCTTATTCCTGGCTATGTTCATGGACTGAATATTGGCAATGATCTTAGCTTATGTTCGGTTCCCATGACTATCTGTGAATTTGTATTTGAATTTTAGTTTTAAAAAAATTCTGCTAATGTTGGGACCAGCAGTTAGCGTAATGGCTATGTCGCTGGACTCCCATGTAGTCAATCGCGGTTTGCATCCCGGACCCGGTGGCTTAAAACTCACGCCAGGCGTGTGTGCGTGTGTGCACAAGATCCCAAGAGGATTTTCTTAATGGGGTTTCAAAAAAAAAAAAAAAAAGAAAGTAATCTAGTTCAAAATTATATTTAAGAAAATGAATGGTCCTACAATAACTTGGATTCCATTTTTAATGGCAAAAGCTTAAAATATTCTGCCCATAGTTGATATACTTTGCATTAACCAATACAATTAGAAAGACATGTAAATGGGGCCAGCAAGTCGTGTGGTGGTTAAGGTACTAGATTCCCACACATCCAGCCATGATTCAAGTCCCAGACCCAGAGGCTTGAAAAACACATAGGGTGCGTATGTGTGCATACCCAAATCCCAAGAGGAGAATGAAGGAGAAGGGATTACAACATGGCCATCCCCTTGGGGGATGATTTCTCACTCTTCCCCCTTTCTGTCTCTCTCTGGAGACCACACATGTCCTATAGCAAAGGAAAATAAATTGTGAGAAAATTTTTCAGTTCTTCTTCTCTTCCTGACTGATAACTTCTAGATACATAACTAGGTCTTTATCCCATGGCATGACCCTAGTGAATAGCAATCACTGGATCACCATGATAAGCAAACATTCTATACTGCTCAGTAATAAAAACATTTTAAAATTTCTCACTGGTTGGGTTTTTATTTCCTCTTTGTCTTTGGGATGGCAGAAGCTTGACATAAAGTTATTCATTCAATGAAAATGTATTGTGCATCCAGGCACTCTACCGAGTACTGTGGATGCTGAGGATAAAAAAGGCATGCACGATTCCTGCTCTGATGAAACCACTCTTATTCTAAGGTAGACAGACAATACAAATAAGTAAATAAATAAATAAGAGTGTCAGATAGGAATGATACAATGAAGTAAACAAAACATTAGATAGGATGACTGGATTCTATCATTTGAGTGTTTTGGTCCCTCTGAAATTTATGCTGTACCTTGACTCCCAATGGGGTAATGTAGGGACCCAGTGCCTAGAGAGGTGTTTGGGGACCTGAGCAGTTAAGGCAGGTTCCCAGGAGCAAGACAGTTCTCACTAGTTAGTTTGATGAAATAATAAGTCACTTACTTATTATTTATTTTGTTTTAATTTGACCAGAGAGGAACTGAGTAAGAGAGTGAGAGAGAGAGAGGGAGAGAGAAAGAAAGTGAGAAAACAAACCTCCAGGTTCGGGACTTGAACCATGTTTGGCCACGTGGTAGTCCAGTGTCCTTAACCACCATGCCACCTGCCATCCCCCAAAGCAGAGTGTTATAAAAAGCAAGTTGGGGTGTGTGCTGGGGGCGGAGGCCTGATGCAATCCAGATAAGAAATGCTCAGTGAGTGTCTCTGCACCTATTGGCCGGGCTGCTAAGGCGCGCTATATAAAGCTGCGGGCCCAGAGCCCCGCGCCATCGGCAGGAGCGCAACGCGTGCAGACTCCGGCAATCCGCGACGCGCTCACGCACGACCCCGCGCTGCATCCCTGTCGCCGCCCAGCGTCCCTCATTGCCACCGCCGGAGCCGAGCCGCGAACCGAAGGTGTCATGAGGAGAACATGGAGCGGGTTTGCAGTGGCCACAC